TTATCATTATAATCTTGGCGATTCATAACTACGACACCCCCACCTTTGTCTGGACGGCATATGATAATATCATCATTCTTCTCTAGCTCTTTCAGTTGGTCTATATGCTCTTTAGTCAGAAGATTATTCGAGCTAGGTTTTGAACTAGTATACTGATGACAGCAATCAAGAACTGTGGATTTAAAGTATTGGAATTCCTCAGGTGATGTGGGTGTAAGATCGTTGGTCTGATTAATAAGATTTTCGAATTGCACTTGAGTATGCAGTCTGTTGACTTTGGATGAACTGTTGCAGAATTTGGGGCCCAGTGATAGGGCTTGTAGTTGAATTTCAGAAAGAGTGACGGAGGAATAATTAAATACATATTTATTGGGGTCAGTCGGGAATCGCTTTTCTGCTAATACCTGCTTGAGACTGTCAAGATGCTTGAGGTTAGCAGACTGGGACTGTTTTTCAATGACACAAGAAACGTATTCCTCGAATTGCCGGCGTTCATCAGTCGAAAGTTCAAACAGAACATGACTTCTCAGAGTTATGTTCCTGTTTAATTCTACCACACGAGAACTGATTGCATCAATATGATTAAGTGTGTGGCGCTTTAATGTTTTGGAATTAGGACATATACGGCTACGTCTAAGCGCTTTCCAAAATAAATTAGGATATTCATTTTTACTGATACAGCTTTCAAGAAAGTTAATCTCGGATTTCACTAACGCAAGTTTGACAGAATACCGTAGGAAACCATTAAGTTCCTTCATCGTCATTGGGTCTTTGCATTTTTTCAATAATTTAATAATTCCCATTGTAGCATTAAGAACACAATTTTCAGAGTCTCTTCGCTGAAAATTGTGTTCTTAATGCTACAATGGGAATTATTAAATTATTGAAAAAATGCAAAGACCCAATGACGATGAAGGAACTTAATGGTTTCCTACGGTATTCTGTCAAACTTGCGTTAGTGAAATCCGAGATTAACTTTCTTGAAAGCTGTATCAGTAAAAATGAATATCCTAATTTATTTTGGAAAGCGCTTAGACGTAGCCGTATATGTCCTAATTCCAAAACATTAAAGCGCCACACACTTAATCATATTGATGCAATCAGTTCTCGTGTGGTAGAATTAAACAGGAACATAACTCTGAGAAGTCATGTTCTGTTTGAACTTTCGACTGATGAACGCCGGCAATTCGAGGAATACGTTTCTTGTGTCATTGAAAAACAGTCCCAGTCTGCTAACCTCAAGCATCTTGACAGTCTCAAGCAGGTATTAGCAGAAAAGCGATTCCCGACTGACCCCAATAAATATGTATTTAATTATTCCTCCGTCACTCTTTCTGAAATTCAACTACAAGCCCTATCACTGGGCCCCAAATTCTGCAACAGTTCATCCAAAGTCAACAGACTGCATACTCAAGTGCAATTCGAAAATCTTATTAATCAGACCAACGATCTTACACCCACATCACCTGAGGAATTCCAATACTTTAAATCCACAGTTCTTGATTGCTGTCATCAGTATACTAGTTCAAAACCTAGCTCGAATAATCTTCTGACTAAAGAGCATATAGACCAACTGAAAGAGCTAGAGAAGAATGATGATATTATCATATGCCGTCCAGACAAAGGTGGGGGTGTCGTAGTTATGAATCGCCAAGATTATAATGATAAAATCTCAGCGATCCTTTCTGACCAAACGAAATTCGCCAAACCCGACGGTGAAAAGAACAAGACACATTTAATTGAAAATCAACTGACTGATGTCTTAAAGAATATGAGGAATAAGTCAGCAATATCGTCAGAAATATACGAACGCATCAGACCAGTAGGCTCCATTATACCACGTTTGTATGGACTACCAAAAATACATAAGACAGGATTACCCCTCCGTCCAATCCTCGATATGGCGGGCTCTCCTTATCACGGAATCGCTCAATGGCTAGCCGAAATATTGGAACCAGTCAGAAGGCAAGTATCTAAGTTTTCCATTGATGATACGTTTAAATTTATTGATAGTATTAAAGAATTTAATGTCTCAGAAAAAGTCCTGTTCTCATTAGATGTCACGTCGCTATTTACCAATGTTCCTCTCATGGAAACTGTTAGCTATTTATGTGAGTATATTGATACACATGGTTTGGAAATAGGTTTACCGACAATCCACCTCAAAGAACTTTTATTGAGATGCACGTTGAATGTTCAGTTCACCTTCAACAATGAGATCTATAGACAGAGAGATGGCATTGCCATGGGATCACCACTGGGTCCTTTGTTAGCTGATTGTTTTATGGCAAAGCTGGAAAATTCTCAACTTAGTCAAACCATCGGGCATTTTGACATTTATAAAAGATACGTAGACGACACTTTCGTCATCTGCGATAAGAACGTAGTTCTTGATGATGTCTTGTTCGCCTTCAACAACTGCCATCCTTCTTTACAATTCACCATAGAAAAGGAATCGGAACTAAGTATTCCGTTTCTTGATGTGTGCCTTAGCAGACGGAATGACGGATCTCTCAAGAGATCGATCCACCGGAAACGTACATGGAACGGACAACTAACTAATTTTTACAGTTGGGTGCCTATTTCCAGGAAAAGGAATTTAATCCATTCACTCTGCTTTAGGATAAGGAAAATTTGTAGTTCTGATTGCGTCGACTCAGAACTGGACTTCCTGAAAGCCACACTCGCAGAAAACGGTTACCCTAACCGATTTATTGACAGCAACATGAAAGATAAGCAGTCTAAACTGGTCACTGACTCAGTTCCAAAGAAAACCCTATTCGTGAACTTGGAATTCAAAGGAGATCAAGCTTCTGATATGCTCAAAAATCGTCTTTCTAAATCAGTTAGTAAAACGTTCCCTGCAGCTAGATTACATATGACGTTCACGAGCCGCAAACTGTTCTCTACCTCTGTAAAAGATAAGCTCCCCCGTCTGACCGCCTCCATGTGCATCTACCAGTTCACCTGCTCTTGTGGAGCAAGGTACATTGGCCGTAGTCAGAGAATGCTCTCCACACGGATACGAGAACATATTCCAGCTTGGTTTTACAAGGGAGAAAGGAAATGTGTGCGAAGCTCTATCTTAGAACACCTCATCGACTCCTGTCACTCGGTCAACCCTGACCATGATTTCAAGGTCTTATATAGAATTCATGCCAACTTCCCGCGTTTTCTTCGTTACAGACTTCTAAAGACAGCTGAGGCCTTGGCAATTCATGACTTTAAGCCAGACCTTTGTGTACAAAAGAAGTATGTACAATCCCTACTGCTGCCTTGGCCGTAGAGGGATAGACATTTATTTATTTTATTATTCTATGTACTTTTCCCTTATTACTTCGATTATTATTATTATTATATTATTATTATCATTATTATTATTATTACGACTCTCATTCTGAATCTTTTCCACTTGATCTACTTGACATTTTAAACCAAAAATTATTCATGTGTATACTTTTTATCTTTATTTTTACAATATTAAATTCTATGTTATCAAATTTCACACCATGTTACGTAACATTTTACATTCGTCTATTAATCTTACAATTATATGCCTCTCCCCAAAATCTATACACCTGATGTATTATCTTATATATGACATTAATTATTGTTCCACTTGACTTAAACTATGAACCTAATCACAAATATTTTAAATTTATTTCATACTATTATTATTTCATGTATTTACACCTTTGACCTAATTCCCTCACCGGATATAATTTCTTTATAAAACCATATATATACGATTGTACAGCTTGATAATAAATTCGTTGAAAAGAGTCTCTTCGCTGAAAATTGTGTTCTTAATGCTACAATGGGAATTATTAAATATATATATATATCTGTCTGTCTGTTTTCGATATAGAACTTTGCACAAATGTGCGGAAGTTCAAGTCGCCACACTCCGTGTAGCACGCGAGGCAAGAGAAGAAAGTACAAGAAAAGCATGATAGAAATAGTGAGCAGAGGTGTGAGACAAAGGAGTAATAAAGAAATACAAAACAGTTTCATTGAAGATTATTAGTCACAGGGAGTGGATGCATCTGCGCCACTGAGAACGATTTTGAGCCATGTCACCAATTGTTTCCAACCATAGATTTTTACCGTCCCGAGGACCCCAACCAGGAAGAGTCTACACCTTCCTACGTGGCTTAGACCAACTGTTGTGGATTTCATTGACTGATGCCAAGTTTTTGTTTGACCGCCGCTAGCTTTTTTCCAGCCTGACCCTATATCCGCTAACATTGCCCGTCGAGGGAGGCGATGACTAGCAGCGTGCGTAACACATGTCCTAACCATCTCAGTCTTTGTAACTTGACGACTTCGTCGATTGATTTCCCCTGTTTACCTAGAACTCTACGCCTAACCTCCATGCTGCTCACCTTATTATGCCACTTTACACGGGAAATAGAACGCAGGCACCTATGATCAAAGACAGCCAGTCTTTTCATGTCTTCCACTCTCAGTGGCCAGGTCTCACAGCCCATAAAGGAGGACGGAGCGGACTGATGAGCAGTACACCCGCCCTTTGGTCGATAGTCGAACATCTCGTCTACGCCAGAGTCGGCGTAAACTGGCACATGCGAAACTAGCCCCTTGTATTCGTGCTGAGATTTCGTCAGAGATCAGCCCGTTGGGGCTGATGGTACTTCCCAAATAAGTGAAGCGGTCAACGTGCTCTATCACTTCACTTCCTATTTTTAAACTAGGCGTCGATGTAGTCCAGTCCTGTAACATCATCTTGCATTTGGCGGGAGCGAATCGCATGCAAAACATTCGTAGATTGCGGCTCAAGGTGTTTAGAAGACTCTGCATTTCGTCAGCGTCTTCGCCTAGAAGGACTATATCGTCTGCATATTCTAATTCAACGAGATTATTCCCTGGTAGCAAGTCATATATATATATATATATATATACAAAGGCGATTTCTCGAACATTTGATGAATGTATACACAGGTTAAAATTATTAATTTTTCCATAATAAAAAGACAACTCACCAGAATACAAGTGTTCAAAATTCACCGGTTTCCCATCATTAATCTCTTGTAGTTTAACCATAGCAGTAATCAAGAAAAGTTCTAACACGGAGCAACCTTTACACAAAAAATAATAATAAATAAATACGTGGAATTAAGATAGAATATAGGCATAAATTAATAAACAACATATTCGAAGATATCAAATTCCCAAGAGAAGAAGAAGAATTAGATAACAAAATCCCATTCTTAGATGTCTTCCTTAATCAGGAGAATCAACACAGGAAATTTACAAACACAAGTATGTAGAAAATCAACGCACACACACAGGTCAAATATTCAACTATGCTAGCAATAATCTAATTACTCACAAAAGAAGCTGTGTGCAGATATTGTTTAGAAGAGTTCAAACATATTGTAGTGTGGTGAGAGCAGGCCGTGAGAAAATATGTACAAGGCTGATTCAACAACCAATCACGGCAAAGTTAACGTGGCAAAATATGATTCGCAGACAGAGAAATCTATTTGTCGAGGAATCCCGAAACAACCAATCAGAAGCCTGCGTTTGTCTGCCTAACTTCTGATAAACAACCAATCAGATGACTGCGCTCGTCTACTTGCATAAGCTATAATAATGTATGTGGAATATATATAAATACGTGTTGATTTTCATAATAAAACGATCTGTTGCCTGGCTCTTGTCTTCTGTTGTTACAGTAGCACACCGGAGTTGAAAAGAATGGAAGAAAAATACCTACAAACGGTCTTCAAAAAGAAAATGGTTATCCACAAAATTTCATCAAAAATTGTTTAAAATCAAATCACGACACCAACAAGGAACCATCATCAAAGACCACAAGAAAATTCATCCTGCCATACATGAGAAACATCTCTGAAATAACAACTAGAATAATGAAACCGTTTGATACACATGTAGCATAAAATCCAGTCAAATTGCTTAATTCGATCTTATGCAAACCAAAAGATCCAACAGAAAAAGGGGATAAAATTAACACCATTTACAAAATAAAGTGCATGTATGAACTGTAACAGGCATTACATCGGCCAAAGTGGGCATCCCCTTCGAATCAGAATCCAAGAACACAAATCAGCCGTGACAAAACACGATATATATTTCTGTTTCATATCAATGCATATAGACAAATATGGACATCAATTTGATTGGGATAATGTCGAAAGCTTAGACAGAGGAAACACCAAAAGTGCAGTCAGGGAATTCCTAGAAGCCTGATACTCAAACGAATATGCAATTAACACGCACGTCAATATAGACCAAATATACCAACTAATGAAAAGTAGATCTACGTGACCCGAAAGTTTAAAATCCAAGTCAATAGTAAAAATGATCAATACACATGTAAAGATGGTTACCGCAATTCTATCACTGAAGAAAAATTAAAATCATTTCACTTTATGCCTAATATTGCGCTGAAGATGTTTTCCAGAAGGACGACGAAAGCTTCGCAACTAAACCAACCAGCGCAGAGAACACTATGAATTGTAAATCAATAAAAGTCTATCAATTTCTGTGAAAAATCAAGCATAAATTATGGAGTGGTTTACAAAACTGATTTTTTCTAACATCATAAAGACACTTTAGTAGATAGCACAAGTGGAAATGTAAGCATCAAAAGGTTGTTTTTGTAAGCTCTGACAGATGTTGGAGTTACTCTTCTACTGACTTCAGTTCAATAATTTAGTGATAGAATATTCGCCAGAGGAACGGAAGACTCGAGTTCGATTCCCAGCCAATGTACACCCTCAATGCAGGAGATATTTTCAAGTGGTCATAGTACCGTGTTCTGCAGTTGTACTCTAGTTAAGACACACGAGTCTAAAACCCAGTTTCCCCCCATCGTCACATGCTGCTATATAGAAAGATGATAAGGCTCATGTCATAAGCATATTACACTGACTACAATATCTAGGATGATGCAGACACGTTTACCAATCAAATTGTGAGTACTGATCCTAAATCAGTCGATACAAAAACATTTACGGCTAGAAACATTTCTTAATATCTTTATCAGTACAATGTCAATCAGCAGACAACTAGAAAGAGGAGACCTACGATTACACATCTGCATTGGACTCTGTTCCCAGGTCTCTCTTGCTAAGTAAGCTTGCTGCAACACAGGCTGAGAGCTGGACAAATAAGTGGCTACATTCCTATTTTTCTGATAGGAAGCAGTACACCGTCTGCAATGGAAAGTCCTCCACTACCTCACTTACTTTAGCTGGTGTTCCTCAAGGTGCTGTTCTTTCTCCTTTTCTGTTTTCTTTTTTCTTACACGACTTGCCTCATTCTGATGTGGCCACTTTTATCAAGTATGCTGATGACCTCTTTGTTTCTATGCCTGTCAACTCTCAGTCAGATTGTTCCAAATTAAATAACTTTCTATCGGAAATTAGTCAGTGGTCCTCTTCAAACAGTCTTAAGCTTAATCCGTCTACATGTCAGGTAGTCGATTTCACTTTCAGACGTAAACGTAACCTACAGCAACTGACTTACTCGCATGGCCCCACTATCATTGACGGCATAGAGGTTGAAAATACATCTAATGTCAAGTATCTTGGGCCGAGTATTTCCACCGATCTTTCCTGGTCCTTCCACATCTTGTTAGTTATCAGAAAGATGCTTCGCTTAACGTTCTACGTTAGGAAATTTAGGTAGTCTGGCATGAAGCAGTCTTTGCTTTCTCAGTTTGTAAATTCTTGCATTCTATCCATCCCCCTTTACTGCTCCCCATTAATCTTTCCTGGACTACTTAAGAAAGACTTTGCTTTGCTGAGAAGGGCAAGTGGGATATCGTTAAACCAACTGGTTAACACTATTGTGGATAGACATATTATGTCATGTAAGAAACTAGCGAATACAATATTGTCGGACCCCGAGCATCCTCTTTATACGCAACTGTCTCCTTGCATTTCATCTGATAGAACTAGAAGCAGCTATAGAAGGCTATATGCTAGGACTACCAAGTACAAAAACTCCACAATACCATATCTGGCACAGCTGTTATGTGATGAGAAATCCGTTAGGTATGACACGATAAACTTACTGCGGGACTCTAACAAATAGTCCCACTAGGTTTTGTTTTCCTGTCCTCGTTACTATTACACTGTTGTTCTCATCTTCTATCACACATCAAATTTATATTTCATATCCTGTGGTGCATTGTTTGAAATGTAAACTCTACGCTGTTTTTTTAAAACTTTTATTTATCTTCTTTTTGGCGTTGGTTTTTATGTATTTATTGATTGATTTTAAAAATCTTATATAATTTATGAGGTAATTAGATGCAATATACTGTAATGCACGCTGAAAATTCCATACCTGTACCACAAATACCGTTTGGAATAAAGCTGTTATTATTATTATTATTTCCACAGTACCTATCAAATAAAAGTAAATCAATAAATTCACCGACTGGCTTACTCTTCTACTGACTCCAGCTGGATGATTTAGTGATAGAATATATTCGCCAGAGGAGCGGAAGACTCGAGTTCGATTCCCCGCCAATGTACACATAAAGCTCGCCTAGGCGGCGGCAGTAGGTCCGGTAAAGAGGAAAGGTTGGTTGGGGATTTGATGTTAGCAACTCAACTCGGTAAAAGAAAGAACAGCTACTGAAAAACTTCAGAGCTCTCTCTAGCTTGAAGTCCTGTATGTTCCAAAGGGATGAAAAGACTGTGCTCACAAACCTCGTGAACATCTGCGGCATTGGCTTCAGTGTCTCACTTTCTCATCTTGTCCTCTAATTCAACATGGGCGACTAGACAATGTCACTGACACATATTGGAGGTTAAGACTATCGGCCTGGTAATTGAGATAATCTGTGTTTGGGTAATTGTACCCACACATGCAAGTTTATATGTCATGACAGAAGACAAAGGCTAGGCAACAGATTGTTTATTGAGAAAATCAAGTGATATTTTAAGATTTTTACGTGCATTATTGTCAGTGGAGAAGCAACCTCCTCTGATTAGTTGTTTTCCTACTGAAGGTTATTCTGAATTCATTAAAAAACCGTTTCTCAGGAAATTAAGCCATATATCTGCGAATCATATTTTCACACGTTAAGTCCGCTGCGACTGGTTGTTGAGTTCCTCAAGCTTAAGCCTTGTTACCAGAAGGTCCTGGGTTCGAACCCCAGTCGTTGGGTGCGTATTGCTGAAGAGCCCCAAACTAGGACAAAACAGCTGTCCAGTACTCACAGGTTTTCCAGTCGTTCTCTAATTGTTATCAGCCAATGATGAAATCCTCCATCCGAAGCTTAACCTTTAGAAAATTACCAACCAATCACAGCGGACTTAAAGTGTGGAGATATGATGGCTTAAATTTCTGTAAATATAATAAATATGATTAATTTTGTCTAATAACAGTTGTTTTTGTTGTCGTTCGTGTTGTGGTTTTCCTCAGGATAACTTTTGTGTCTATCTCAATGCGGGAGATATTTTCAAGTGGTTACAGCGCTGTTTCGAAGTTGTACTCTAGTTAAGATAGACGAGTCCAAAACACAATATCACTCCATCGTAACATGCTGCTTTACAGAATGACGATAAGGCTCATGTCATAAGAATATTATGCTGACAAAAATGTCTGACATGATGCAGACACGTGTACCAATCAAACTGTGAGCTTCAATGCTAAGTCAATCTACACAACGATATTTACGGATAGAAATATTTCCTAATATCTTTATCAGTACACTGTCAATTAGCAGACAACTAGAAAGACGAGATCTACTGTTTCCACGGTACCTATCTAATAAAAAAATAAATCAATAAATTCAACGACTGATTGAGTGATGGATTGATTACCTACCTTTAAGTGCAGTCAACTTTGAATCTTGTTGTAATGCGCATAAAGAATCAATAAATTGCACCGGTTCAATACGATTGTGTTCAGGGCTGAGTGAAGCAACTATTGGAATCTATTGAAGATAAATGAAGAAAAAAGAATATTAGTAATAACTGTGTATAATATCTATGACTACAGTACAAATTTACACCAAAAAGGAAAAATAAACTGTCCAATATACAGAAAACAAAATAAATTTGTATGTGATGATATATATTACTGATTAATATTAAGTAGCTAGAAACCACTACCATCAAATAACAGTGCTTTTTAGTCGCATGGAAGTGATCTAACTGGTTTGATTTGTCTAGTCCTATCTGCGGTGCCGACGGAATGCTATCAGTCGAGTTTGAAATGTGGCCACCATGCGACTAGTTGGCTCGCCATCACGGGGCACTTTGAATTGTTGATGTTAGATGGTTGGAGGTAATCGGGCACAGGAAGCCCAGCCCTGGACCTAGATTTCTTGCTTGTTGGCACTCACCAATCAATCAGCAAGGCGTATCTGCTGACACACAACACTAGTTAGTCTCCAATCAATGTATCTAATACAGTGCTAGAGGAGGTCAATCACGAGCCCGAAAACCTAGCTCAGTGGTAACATCTCTGACTGCAGCCCCACTGGGTGACACGGGTTTTAATCTCAGAAGGGATATGAGTTCCTTCAAGGTTGCAGATACGTCTTGCTGACTGGTGAGTGCCAACTAGCACAAAACCTAGGTTTAAACATGTGGGTAGACGTGGAGCCAGGTGAAAACGTTGGCAGTAAACCGAACGCAATGGAGACGTGCGGCTGAAGCCCTATGTTCCTCTAGGAACTAAAGGAAAGAATAATAATAATCCTACGTCGGCTGGCATTGCTTGTCGAGGATGGGCGAAACACATTCTTTTAGCCATCTTCTCAATCGATGCAGCTTCAAGACCTCGTCGATTGACTTCCCTTTCTACCAAGAACGTTACGCCCGACTTTATTATTACTCACCATATTTATACCGCTTAACAAGTAAGACGGAACGCAAATATATGTCTGTCTGTCTGTTTTCGCATAGAACTTTGCACAAATGTGCGGAAGTTCAAGTCGCCACATTCCGTGTAGCACGCGAAGCAAGAGAAGAAAGTACAAGAAAAGCATAATAGAAACAGTGAGCAGAGGTGTGAGACAAAGGGGTAATAAAGAAATACGAAACAATTTAATGAAGATCATAAGTCACAGGAGTGGATGCATCTGCGCTGAAACGATTTTGAGCCATGTCACCAAATATATGTGGTCAAAGATAGATGGCCTTTCCAAAGTCTTTCAATTTCAAAGGCCAAATCCCATAGCCATAAAGGAGGATGCGACGAACTGCCGCATACGACATACATCTTTCGATAGACAGCCGGTTGGTTATCACGTCAAAGCAAGATATGACATAAGCTGGTAAATGCCACACAAGCTTTTTATACTCGTGCTGGAATTTCTTCAGCAATCAGTCAATTAGGGTTGGCGCAGCTTCCTAAATAAGTGAGGAGATCAACACGCTCAGCCACCTCACTCGCTCCCTATCCTTAAACTCGGAGTCGGTGCAGACCATTCAGTCCTGTGATTCCATATTTGTTAGTTTATTAGATGTATCACACAGTGAGTGAAACAGTATTACTATTTACTGGATGACAATGTTTCGAAAACAATTTATTGAGGTTTATAATCACATCAATTATAATCACACGACTTCGAAACTTGAGTTTTATAGTTTCCTTTGCTCTCTCCTATTTGTCGTCGTAGGGGTAGTACAATTTTCCAGATATCTGGGTGGACAGGTGTTGTATCATTCCTATTACGCATATTCTCTCTCAGTTGATTCCATAAACAAAGCTTCTGTTATCAATCTCTCCCTCCCTCCACCCTGTTGCATTCTGTCTGTCTGTCTGTTTTCGACATAGAACTTTGCACAAATGTGCGGAAGTTCAAGTCGCCACATTCCGTGTAGCACGCGAAGCAAGAGAAGAAAGTACAAGAAAAGCATAATAGAAACAGTGAGCAGAGGTGTGAGACAAAGGAGTAATAAAGAAATACAAAACAGTTTCATTGAAGATCATAAGTCACAGGGAGTGGATGCATCTGCGCCACTGAGAACGATTTTGAGCCATGTCACCAATTGTTTCCAACCATAGATTTTTACCGTCCCGAGGACCCCAGCCTGGAAGTCTACACCTTCCTACGTGGCTTAGACCAACTGTTGTGGATTTCATTGACTGATGCCAAGTTTTTGTTTGACCGCCGCTAGCTTTTTTCCAGCCTGACCCTATATCCGCTAACATTGCTCGTCGAGGGAGGCGATGGCTTGGCATACGTAACACATGTCCTAACCATCTCAGTCTTTGTAGCTTCACGACTTCGTCGATTGATTTCCCCTGTTTACCTAGAACTCTACGCCTAACCTCCATGTTGCTCACCTTATTATGCCACTTTACACGGGAAATAGAACGCAGGCACCTATGATCAAAGACAGCTAGTCTTTTCATGTCTTCCACTCTCAGTGGCCAGGTCTCACAACCATAAAGGAGGACGGAGCGGACTGATGAGCAGTACACCCGCCCTTTGGTCGATAGTCGAACATCTCGTCTACGCCAGAGTCGGCGTAAACTAACAAATGCGAAACGAGCCCCTTGTATTCGTGCTGAGATTTCGTCAGAGATCAGCCCGTTGGGGCTGATGGTACTTCCCAAATAAGTGAAGCGGTCAACGTGCTCTACCACTTCACTTCCTATTTTTAAACTAGGCGTCGATGTAGTCCAGTCCTGTAACATCATCTTGCATTTGGCGGGAGCGAATCGCATGCCAAACATTCGTAGAAATTGGCGCAAGGTGTTTAGAAGACTCTGCATTTCGTCAGCGTCTTCGCCTAGAAGGACTATATCGTCTGCATATTCCAAGTCAACGAGATTATTCCCGGTAGCAAGTCAATCCCTGAGTCGCTGAAGTCACCTAGGGTTAAGTCCATTAACACATCTATGATGAAGTTGAATAGAAAAGGAGATAATGGGCATCCTTGACGGACACCACTGGTCGTCATCAGTTCAGATGACAGCTCGCCGTAAGCCCTCACCTGGCTGTATGAGTACGAGTAGAGTGCCTTAATCAGTGCAATATATTTTCTTGGAATTCCCTTTACAGCCAAGCATCTCCAGAGAACTTCCCGATCGACAGAGTCGAATGCTGCCTTTAGGTCAAGAAATATAATGACTGTTGGACGCCGGTAGGAATGCCTATGTTCTAGAATCTGTCGGAGGGTGAAGATATGATCAATACACCCTCTTCCTGGTCTAAAGCCTGCCTGGCTCTCTCGTGTTTGTGCTTCCCGAGCACCACTCAGTCTACGCATGATTATTGAGCCTAAGACTTTAGATACTATATTAGTCAAGCTAATCCCTCTGTGATTATCACAGGAAGACTTGTCTCCCTTCTTGTATATGGGGATAATCAGTGACTTACACCAACCCGATGGGACTTCTTCTGATTCCCAGACGCTGCCTAGTACCTCAGTTAATCCGGACAGTAAGCTGTCTCCACCGTACTTAAATACCTCTGGAGTCATTCCATCAGGTCCCGCTGCTTTGCCTAGTTTCAGATTGGTGACAGCTTTAGTAACCTCAGTTAGTGACGGAGGACCTGTGTCTATATCCCATTCAGGGAGGTGTTGGATGCTCGGAAGGTTGAGCGTGGCTGTGGGCAAATTAAACTGCTCCTCATAATGCTCTTTCCAACGATCCAGTCGTCTATCCTGGAGCTAATTATAGTGCCATTTTTTTCCGAGATTGTCTCACTAATGATTTGTCTTCTCCCACCCGTTTCCCTGATGAGTCCAAAGAGTTGCCTGGTGTTGCCTATCCTCAAAGCTTTCTCCATCTCTTTGGCTTTTGTCGCCCACCACTGTTCACGGTCCTTGCGGAGACTTTTCGTAAGTTTCCTCTTGTGCAGCTTTCGCTCCTCATTGAATTCGGAGCTCGCCGGAATAAGTCTTCTAGCATCTATCAGTTCGGATGAGGCGGTGGAGATCCAGTGGTTTTTACTCACCTTTGGGTTTACCTTATTCACAGCTTTTACAGCTGTATCTATGGCTGCCTGGATATTTTTCCAAGCTTCTTCAGGGTGAGCACAGCTGTCGAACACAGATATGTGTTTAGCTAGTTCTTCCTCAAATACGGATTTAGTTTCCTGATCGAGCTGGGGACGTGATGGTTTTACCGCCAGCTGTTTCCTACGTCCGTTCAGTCGTAAGCACACCCGAGCGCGGACCAGTGCATGGTCGGTATCTACGCACGTGTTCCAGAAGGAGCGACAATCTCCTACCGACCCACGCCAACGATAGCTTATTGCTATGTGGTCTATTTGTGTCCAGCGTTGGTTTGATGAAGGGGGTCTCCAAGTCAAACAGTGTCTCTCCTTGTGTTTAAAGTTAGTGCTTACAAGAAACAAATGATTATCAGAGCAGAACTGTAGGAGACGGTCACCGTTGTCGGTTCGCTGGCACGGAGCTCCATAGGTGCCACCGACATCCTTCTCAGATTGACACAATTTCCCTACTTGAGCGTTAAAGTCACCAGCTAGAACGACTATGTCTGAGCGTTTAGCCTTTCCACCAAACTAGACAGCTTTTGGTAGAACTCATCCTTCGTTTCATCTGAACTGCAGTCAGTGGGGGCGTAGGCGGAGATTACGAAAAGGCATCGGCGAGTAGTGCAGTCCTTCCTCCTTCTTACTGATCCGTTCAGGCGGACAGCACACATTCGGCTATCTACCGGGATCCAGTCAAGCAATGTCTTTTCTGCCCTAGTACTCAAAGCTATCCCTACGCCAGCTAATCCTCGTGAACTAGCTGTGGCATCTCCTGACACCCTCAAGGTGAATTTTGCAGATTCAACCTGTTGGCCAGGTGGGGTTAGGTGAATAACCACACTTGGGTCTTGTATGCGTGTTTCTGAAACACAGCATACATCAATGGCTCGTGATGCCAGGGTCTTGGCTAGTGATGCTTGTTGTCCTATTTGGCAAAGTGTCCTAACATTAAGAGCTCCTATATGAAATTGGTG